AATGACCAATAGACCAATAAACAACCTGAAATAAAAATTATAATAAATAAATAAGGTAACACTTTATTTTGATAGTCCACTTTAGACATTCTACTAACAGTAACTTTGCAACTACATGTCAACTAGCAGTCATGAGAGTATTAGTAGACTGTCTGCTTAATATCTTCTAACACTTTATTTTGATGGGTCCACAACATATCAAAATAAAGTGTAACCAAAAATACATACATAAATCATAGCATGAGTGTGGAGCAGAGAGGGGCCTGAGGCAGGAAGTGCTTCACCAGATTTGTTGGACGGCGATGAAAACCAATGCGGAAGTCCTAAATCGAATCAAGCCAGATATGTCGAATTACCATGCAACGGTTAACATTCTTTGGACATGTCATGCAAGCTGATTCATCATTGGACAAATCTACCAAAATCTACCATGCTGGGCATATTCGAACGCAAATAAAGTATACGTAAGTCTGAATCTCGCGAGGATTAGTGCACCAGTCAGATAATCCTCACCTTCTCTTTTATGAATACTGAGGATTCAAACATACTCACTCTCTCACATACTGCTTTCTGCTTACTATATAGTAAGGAAGTATGCGGTTTCGAATGCAGCAAATAACTGGCTTCCGGTTCTGAAACTGCTGGCGCTGCGGGTCTGCAGATGGATATATCTCGATTTATCAACATTACTTTGGCTACTTGATATTTCAATCACAAGTAAGGCTACTGTTAAATTATATTAAGCTCTCTGCTGAAATATCTCTGAGTTTGCCTGTCTGTGTTTCCTCTCTTTATCGTTTATTCGCTTAATCAAGGATGTTGAGCAAGGTCTGCGAGAATAACAGGATGCATCTGGAAAGAAGATATCCTTCTCCCAGAACTTTCTGCTAATATTTCATTCTATCTGACATGTTTTTGTCTTGTATGATGCACATATGTAATGTTTACCCTATACACCACCCCCTTACAATGTATCTAGGCCTATTTTTTATTTATTGTTTATTGCAGTGCTGTCATGCAAGATATGTCCATAAATGTTTTAGGCTAACCCTAACAGCATCCGCAGCTTCACTTCAGATCTCTTACTGTTTAGTGTTCTGTTGCTGCAAGCCACTTGACTGTTTATTGATTTATTCAGGGAAAGTGTTTGATCATAATAATTCACAAAATACTTGTAAAATAACACTGTTTGTTAAAGTTTAAATTACAATTTTGTACTTTATATAAATTAGGATATTTTACTTAAA